AGGCAAGCAGATTGCTTGAGCTAAGGAGTTCAAGACCAGCCTGAGCAACATGGTGAAATCCCATCTCTACCAAAAATACAAAAAGAAAAAAAAATAGCTGGGTGTGGTGGCATGTGCCTGTGGTCCCAGCCACTCCAGAGGCTGAGGTGGGAGGATGAGAGGATGGCTTGAGCCAGAGAGGCGGAATTTGCAGTAAGCTGAGATAAAAATCACATCACTGCACTCCAGCCGGGGCGACAGAGTGAGGCCCCGTCTCAAAAAACAACAAAACAAAAAGTTGTGCTTCTATGCACATGAAATTTCAAAATCATTTCGCTAGATGTCCTTCCCCCGACTCAGTTGCCACTCCTCAACTCCATTCAGCCTCAGATGAATGCGCAGCTAACAACATAGAACCCTGCCACTCACATTGTAGCCCCAAACCAGCAACATTGTCATGCCCTGGAAGACTGATAGAAATGCAGAATCTTAGGCCTTACCCTAGACCTACTGAATCAGAGTCTGCATTTTTTTTTTTTTTTTGCATTTTAATAGAATCCTCTCTTGTATATGCATATTAAAGTTTGAGCAGTATTGATGTAGAGGTCTGTATTCAAGAACACATCTACTGAGCCTGCTAGCATAGTAAACAGTTTTGAATGAGGGATGCTATTGAAACAGATTATGAAATGAGTTGGTTCATTTTGCATGTTTATGGTTAACACAGTAGTTTCATGTTTTCTGTTTCATTTCAAGGTATCAATGCCGTAGATGATGGAAGAGGCTTCCCACAGGAAGGTGCCACTGGTCAGTTATGCCTATATCCCTTTGGCTGGAAATGCAGAATATGAATTGATCAGTTATCTCCAAGCCATTGCTTAAAATATAACATGTTTTGGACCCAATACACACATTGTTACAACTAATACAAATTCCTATTAAGTATTAAAAGTAGTTCTGGTTTATTAATCAACAGGGAAAACATCTTCTCCGAAAAACTTGGAATAAATTCAAGGACCAGTTTTTACCCAAATACATGGGTAGCACAGTTTATCACATAGAAAGTCCATTAATGATCTGATCTTCTGAATCTGAAAATGGAGACTATTAAGATATTAAGATTTCAGAGATTTCAAGTCACATAATGATAAGCGTTATTCATAAAACTTACCTTTAAGAAGGTGGAAGTGGCAAAGCATACTTCTTTTTGTTCCTCTGGTGTGAATCCAGCCTCAGACTGAGTGAACTGTGATAATTATGAAAATTCATTACAGAGTCCAGGTGGCCTGCAGTTGAAGATCTTCAGCCATTTTTGCCTCAGTTAAATCCAGCCCTTGTTTTCTGCTGGAAAATGTGTGGACATTGAAGCTTGAGCTCCCTCTTAAAGCAGTTGGCTGGAATACTTTTGTCAGAATACAGTACATTTCGATTACATCAGAAATATATTTTCATCTCTTCTAATCTTCTTAAATTGGGAAATTTATAATAGCAATTATGAAGATTGTTTTATGACATTCTTTTGTCAGTTTGGCTTTTAAAAAATCTCTTTTTAGATTATTTCTCCTGTTGAATATAGTAAAAATATTGAATTTCTCTTAAGAATTCCTAATAGGTCAATAGATTTACCCTCCAGTTATATCTGTATTATTTGTTTCTCATCTCATCAAAATTATGACAGGTAAACTATATTTTTCCTTAAACACCTATTAAGATTAAATTATGCAAATCATCAAATAAAAATCATACAACTTTTGGAAAGTTAGTTCAACATGAACTAAAATGGATGTTGTTTGGAAATTTAGTTTGAGATAAACTAAAATGGTGTGTTTGTTGATGCCAGAATGTTCAGCTTCAGTCAATATAATAAGCTCTTGTGCCTTGTATGCACTATTTTTAAAAAGTTTTCTTGAGTCCAGTATAATTTATGTAAATGTTAACAATTAGAATAATACTCTGTATGTTTTTTTGGTACTGATTTTGAGAATTTAAAGCAGATTACCTTTTAAAACTGGACCAACTAAGTAATTGGTATTTAATCCAAGAGAAAATGGTGATAAACTTTTCAAAATCTTTGTTAAACCAAACATTCAACACAAAATAAACTAGAAGGCCAGAGGATAATGGAATAAAGGATCATTGCAATTACTTATCCTTCCTAAAAGTATAGTTTTATATTAATTGTGCTTATGGAGGAAACAATGTCAGCCAAGTCCATTTTATAGTCAGAGTGCAATTCTTTGAACAGTAGAAAAATCTGCAGTCTTTTACAGATTTGTTTTAAGCTAACGAGTTTCATCTGACAATCTGCTTCAAGAAATCTCAGAAAATATGATAACATTTTAACTTTCATTTTAGAGCACGTTTTGGTCATTTTAAAAAATACCTGAAGTGCCAGACTGGAACCTGTAGCTACTACTAGAAGTCTTAAAACCAACAGCAGCACAGGATGTATTAAGAATTATATGAAGTCAGGTTTTTTTTTCAAAGCACAGTACTATTAGCTGTTTTGGTGGACAGGATTCGATTAAGTATTCCCTCTTGTCATACTGGAAGCTAGGGGAAAAAGAGGGATTTTTATCCTTTACTCTGCTAGAGTACTGTTACGCCCCTTTCCCCCAGTCTTTTCTACAATTAAATATATGTCAATGCACATTAGAATCAGATTTGAAAAAGTTAAAACAATTTCATTGTTGTAATTGTTCCCTTTCTGTTTTCATACAGTGAATAACCTTTAAAGGGTTGTTTTGTTTTGTTTTGAATTATAGGAGTTATAATTTTTGGAGATGCTTGCATATCTTATTAGATATGCAATATAAATTTATCTGAGAGAACAAAGTGCTAAATAAATAGATCTACATTTTGTACATATTTATATAAAATTTACCTTTAAGTATTTGCTTTAAAAAATTTAATGGCTTAACTCGAACTTGAAGACACATACTTCAACTGTCCTTATTGTCCATTAAACTGATAATTTTTATTTTTCTTGTTTTTATAGATTTTACTATATAGGAATCAAGATTTAAGAAATTTTGCATTAAAAATAATGTACCAATGCTTCATATACATTAGTTATTTGCTATTATGTAAGGAAGAGGATTGTTATTTCAAAGATATATTAACTGTTGCATCTGAATACAATCATGATGCATTCAAGGAAGTTCATATCCATGAATTCACTCCTAATATACCCTAATAAAGTGGTTGATCACCTTCATTACCTGTCTATAAGAAATTGCCTTTGCACTGACAATATAAATTATTTTAAGCATACATTTTCCTAATAGTTTATTAGAGCTACTAATGGCAAAATTCATGTCTTCAGTGTGGTCATAACATAGGTCTTTGGGGGAGGGGTAGTGAGAAGATAAGGTGTTTACTTCGTAGTAGTTCAGTGATTCTGAGGACAATTAGACTATAAAACTCAAGTAGACTGTAATCAATAGAGAACTATTAGAAATATGGCATACGCTGACCAAAAAAACTAGGGAAATCAAAGATATAAATCATATTTATAAAAAATTAGGCACGTAATCGTGATTCATGCTTCAAGAAAACATGAAAAACGTGTTACTCCATTATGTTATAAACTCGCAGATTTTCCCTATTTTGAAATACATGTAAACTTGCTCGGCTGATTCTGAACTGTATCCTTTAGTATATACTTATATTGTCAGATACTTGTTTGTAAAAGTGATGGTTCTGATACCTTTGATCAAACATAGATACAAACCTCAGAAAATGGTAAATGCAAAGCAGTTTACATTGTAAATCATGATGAAGGTATACTCCAGCACAACCATCCCACCCACACAGTCAGACTACAGATTCTGATCTGCAAATATTTTGACCAAAGTGACATTTCAACAAGTGGATTTTTCACAAATAACACGTTTAGTATCTTTCTGCAGAAACGTGTTCTTCCTAAGCAGAAGAGCACCCGGCTTAATCCCAAATGTTTTATATTCTTTTCCACATACTCAGCCCGTTCAGCACCGATTTCCTCTTACATGTGGAAGGAGACTATGTTACACACCTGAAGTATTCGTTACTCTTTTACAAAGATACCGCTAGGATTTTCTCACTTTGTCTTGGTAAAAATTGCTAGATTCTACTTTTTATTGCGAGTTTTAGCAATTTGATCTTGTAACGCCATGAAAAGCATTAAGTAGAAGCCAACATGAACCTAGATTTTACAACTGAGCAATCTGTTCCCCCCCAGATTTCCTCTGGAATTTATTATCCAAGGATCTTACTGTGTGACAGAACACAGGAAATTGTATTATACTTTATAATGTTGCAAACCATGCATTTTCCTTTTCTCTTTTCCATAAGATTTATTTTTTTTTATTATGGTAGTGCCCTGGGTTGTAAACAGTGGACATCACCAAAAGGATGAAATCAAGTAGGCTTGTTTCAAAGAAACTCCTGTGAATCAAGAACTATGAACATGAAGTATCTCCCAGAATAATGTTCAGTGTTGCAGGAGACTCTGAAACAGGGCACCCATTTCTTTTTCCTTCCTCAAATAGTCCCCTTGAAATGTGAGCAAACAACTACGATGATGCAGTCCAGGTATCTAATAGCTCAATCACCAACACCCTCTGAGAATTGTTCCTATACCAGCAAAAAGTTCAAATACAATCATCTGGGCAATGCCAATAGAAGACACTTAATCATTTGCAGACCTTTCTTGTTGCAGGAAAGTGAACGGCAAAAAACAAACTGGTGAAAACTTTTCAAAAATAGATCTTTTTGATGTTCTTGTTCATAGCCAGCATTCAGTATTTCTGTATTGTTTACATTTGGGGGAAAATGTCTGTTAAGACTAATCTTCTGAGTGGTTTGAGTACCAATTAAACCAAAGGGAAACTTGTTATAAGTTCTTTTAAGCCCTGGTTTATGGCTAGTTCCCTATTGCTCAGGAAAAATACTACTACTTTATGGTTTATGAAAACAACCTATGATTTATGTTGCATCTTCCAGGTAAGGTTTAACAGTACCAGGAGCTGAATCCTACCTGAAATTATTAATACTTAATAGCTTCTGTTTGATGGATAAAGGTGCTTAATTGAAAAAAAAAAAAAAAGCATAATATACTTCAAGTAATTACTTCAAACAAAATTCTGTTGATGCTGAATTTAAAGATAATACAGAATGTGTCAGTTCTCCTGTTGTATTTTACTCAGTTATGAGAGCAAGGCTATTTTGTCAGTTCAGATTTCGTGTCTTTTTTCTGTCAGTATGTATGGCTCCCTAAAGTGTACTATTAAAAACATCTTAAATGAACTAATCAAACACTTACTGTGTGAAAGCTGAGTACTTTAAAAAGCGACCTTAATTATAAAGTAATCTTGGAGTAGCATGCAAATGTGCTAAAGTTATTTTAAAAACATATACTTAGGCAAGAAGTAGAGGACAGCCCCCAGAATGGCTACAATGAATGGAAGGAAAGCCTATGTACACACATATAGCTCAAGAACAAGTTGTTACTATACATGGGTTTTGCAGTGATACAAGATACCTGCTAACAACTTACAGTATTAGTTTTTTAGAAAAACAAAACAGGTATATGGCATGAGTGAAACAGTTCCCCGTCAAAAACACTTAAAACCTATGACATGACTAGTAAGATATAAAATATTAAGTCCCCTTGGAGTCTTGCAAACTTGTATTTCCTAACAATTTGGAAGCCATGATGATACTGTCTGAAGCTAAAGGAACTCCAATTTCTTGGTATGGTACCAAATAAAGATTCTTATCTTCTGGGAGAAAGAGCCAAAAAAGAAGAGTGTGAAAGCAGTGAATTTCCCCTCCTTTGACAATAAAGCAAGAGGGCAGATTATATTCATGAATGCTTCTCATGTACAAAAAATTCCTCCATACCAGGAAGGAGAGTATTGACCAGTTTATCTTTAAAAAGAAAATGAAGAGTAATTTTGGAGAAGGGTAGCTTGTTCATTCACCTACAGACTATGACTACAAAGCAATGAAATGGACTTCTAAAGAGAAATTGCTCAATTGCTTTTATACTAAACGTTAAATTGACTAATGCTATAGAAAACCATATAATACAAGTTAGAACAAATGGAAGTTATCTAGTGATAATGTAAATGAATCTTGTTTTTTGGAATTTTCACTCTATGGTGACTTTTTTTTTAACTTTTAAAACCTGAAATGAAAATTCTGCAGGACTTGGATGTGTACAGTCCTACATTTCTATAATGTCTTAACAGAAAAATAAATGACAGGTAACATTGTTATAAATGAAGCTCTCATATAAATTACACCAACGTAGCAAATGGCATGTGTGAACTGGCCTTCACTACAAAGCACTGACACACAATAATCAGTATGTTTCCTATCCCTTTATTTATAAATTCTGACACATTTATTTTATAGACATGAGATAACATGCATTCATAATTTGATTCCACCTCAGGTTGTCTACCCAGAGGAGCCACTGCATTTGGCAATGTCGATGAAACAGCAAACAGGACAGATACAGACCCTTGAGTTTCTTCTAGTAGAGAGGTGGACAAGCCTTTTTTAAAAAATTTTTATTTTTTTAAAAAGGCCAGGTAGCAAATATTAGAGGCTTTGCAAGCTAAGATAAAATGAAGGACATTACTAAGGTACTCAAACAAGGAAACTTTTTACAAAATTTTTATTCTAAAAATTGAAAACTCAAACTATCGAGTACAGTTTTTTTTTTTTTTTTTAGTAATAGAGGTCTACTAATGGGAATAATGGGATTTTTTGGCAGGGGAGGGGAGGTAACACTTTGTTCAACTTGGGCTAAAAGTTGGTGTTCCCTCATCGGAATAAATTGAAAATGTTAATCTGTTAATGCCGACGTGTAATGAGATTTCACGTATTTCATCTTTGGAAGTGTCTTTTCACACAAATAGGTCGAGATACTAAATACTGACACATCCACCCATGAGCATGTGATTTTACTTAAGCATATTCATCACTTGTAAGGCATTTGTAGGATTCATCTTTTTGGTATTTGCCCTTTAGCATGTCATTCATTCAAGATGATTCATTTCCAACAGAAGATTAAGAGGAAAGTCTTCAACTGCAATTAAATGCTTTTAAAATTTGAAAATTTTATTTGCACTGCATCAAGGTCCAAAAAATGCTACAGGAAAATATATCCACTAAAAATGGATTTGGCAATAGAGCACTGTTTTGACTTCTGATAGCACAGAAAGTATATAAAGCAGCTTGACAATCTTATTTAAATTTTAGTTTTTATTGAAATGAATTTACCATATTATATTGTTTTACCTTGTAATTTCAGGTCAAATCCATTAAGAAACATTTTCAAGTCTGTGGCAAAAGCTAATTTCCAAAGCTACTCAGTGTTAAAAAACAAGTGTTTGAGGATGGTTCTTCTCACTCAGAAAAATTTCAATGTCAGCCAAGAACCCAAAAAATAAAAATAAATCTTTAGCACTGCTAAGCCACTGAATGCCTGTGTGGCAAATCAAATCAGGATATTCAGTTTCTGTTTCTCACAGAAAATTTATGGAACTGAAGATGGTTAGGTCCACAAGAGCAAATGAAGTTCACTGTTGACCAGTTCAATAACACCAATATTTCCTGCAAACTACCTGCTGATGCATAATCAAGTGAAGAGCTATAGGCTTTAAACAACTTACATTTTCACAAGCTTTATAAATTTGACCAAATAAACTTTTTTTCTGCTCCATGCATTTTTTCCCAGCATCAGTTGCATCACATCTTAGTAGATTCCACTTCAGGTCATACTGTTTCTCAACTTTTTTGAAACTAGTAGTTCCATAAATTCTTCAGTCACTTCAAATCCAGCAATGGTTTCTCATAAAATAAAGCTAGGCAGTACTGACTAGTAAGAGGCAAAGAATTAATGGTATCATTTGATGTTGTGTCCAAAATCCTCATTCTTCAAACGACTTTTATCAAAAGGCTGATATCTTAATTTTCTCTGGACACATTTCTTTGGGTTGGTTAGTCTTCAAGCATGATATAATTCAGCATTAGTAAATGGTTTTCTTTGCTTGGCTAACAAATTGGCCACTTGTAAACATTTTGGTTGCAGCCTCATTTTTATTTTGTGAGATTCTATGATGTTTCATTTAAATTTTCTAATTCTTCTGACTGTTGTTTTCCACGAGTTGGGAATATTGTGATGTTAGTCTGATACTGTCAATCTTCTTTTAC